CACATTCCAAAATTCAGAGTCCCTGAAGAGACACAGAAAACGACTTGCCTTTTTCTTCATGAGGAGATTCATGGGTCCCCATTGTCAGTGTCACCTCGCTTGACAGGGCACGGGCGCCACCTGCTGGCCCACGCGGCGCGGCGCGCGCTGGGGAGCCCGGCGCACAGCTGGAAACGGCTCCAGGCGCTCTGCCCTTGGTGGGGAATTAGGCGAGATTGCAACGGCACTAGCTCGTCAAGCAACGCGTGCACGTGGCGTGTGCTTAACTTCGTCACGTGCGCCGATTCAGATCGCCGCCCCCACCCCCACGCCGAATGTCTTCACCGTGAAAGTCAAGATCCACAGACACTTAATGCTCGAACGTGTCAGTGTGACGCGGAGCTCCACGCAGAACCGGCTTTTTGCAACTTAGAATTAGGGCTAAATATTATCATCCGTTAAGAGGGAGAAGGAGGCAACGGGCCATTTATTTCAAACCCAAGTCAAAACTGAGCCAGAATTAAGCTTTCAGCTGACAGTTATTTAAAATGAATGGCTCAAAACCCTTAAAGTTGTTATAACCTTACAGAGTTCAGCTTGGACCTTTGTCCCCCAACCTCAATAACCAAGATAATTCCCATAATTTCTGAATGCCTGAGAAAAAAAAAAATGTATATATATTGACCTCCAAATTCTTAAGACATCTGAGAAAGGAAAGTAGCATCTGAATATCTCAGTAAAACTCCCCATCATTCACTTTACAGTGGCTAATTTAAAGCAAACACACATACAAACACTAGAATTGACCCCTTCCCCTTCACTCTTTCTAGAAGTCTTAGAGATAAGAGGGCAAGACAGAGAATATTTCTGGAATTCCTTTTTAGTTCGTTAGTCATTTCTTAAGGGGCATTTTATGGCTCTGTGACCCTACAAGGACTGACAAGGGCCTCTGTCCTCACCCTCGCTGGATAAGGTTTTTGCCCTTGATGGCTTACAAGGTCACAAGGTCATAGCAAGATGCCCCCGAATGGCTTTATGGCTTTGGAGCAATTACTGTAAAATGTTTTAATAGACAAGCTTTGACCTCCGTCAGGATCCCGTGCGCATTTGCTGTGGGGTGAGCCCGGATCCCGAGTGGGGGTGGAGGTGTGTCCCTTCTCTCTGGCCTCAGAAACAAGTGCCCTCTGGACGCACAGGACGACTCCTCCCCCCCTGCTCTAGAGGGCAGCTGGGGCCTCAGCTTGAGGAAGGGGCAGGACGAACGGAAGGGCCATGTCACTTGGGTAAGCAGCTCACATCCACGGCCTTGCTGCCACACATCAGAACTCCATAACCCAACCAGCTACAAGCATCTGATTTACCTGAGAGGAGCCCGAGGCACAGGGACAAGTGATTCCTGGAGTCACAGAATTAGCTGGGAAAAGGGCCGGAAGGGAGCCCAGGTCTCGCCCCCGTGCCGGCCTCTCAGGCCCCTGCTTCAATGCAGGCACAGCGCCTTTCTTCTGTGGTTGCCCAAACTTCAGGTATGAGAAAAACAGAACAGCAAATCTCTGTTCTTTCATCAAATGCACCACCTTTACAAGTAAATTAAAGACAGAGCGTCGCCTTTAAATTCCACATTTCCAGGTTAGAGTGACATCCTTAATTGACCTTGTTGGTTGTGTTTTGTTTGTTTGTGTTCCCTTAGCTTCAGTTTAAAGAACACACTAAGGACAAAAATCCATACTGTTTTTTCCACTCCCAGCCTTCTCTGCCTCCTCGTCCCCTCCCCCAGCCCTGCCAATTTGTAAACAAATCAGAAAAGTTTCCCCAATGGGCTGAAAACCTGCCCATGGTTTACTCCAGCTGGAAAGAACTGTGCTCCACCAAAATTTAGACCCCATTTATAATGGAAACCCTGATGGGCAGTGTTGTAATTACAGCCTTGCCATAATGAATGTTTCTGTGTGGTCAGAGTCCTGGGTTTTTCCATGGTAATTTTCCATGGGAGATCCCTCCCTGCATGGTCACTTCGAATCTGGATTATAGCTTTGCCTTTGGAGCGGGGGCTGTCCTGGCATTGGGGAGCTGCAAGTTGACAATTGTGTTGACTCTGGCGGCTGTGACTAACAAGGGGAACATTAGCCGAGTTATGCAAGACTGATGTGGGTGGGGGCAGGGCTGGGGGGTGGGGGTGCAGGAGTTCATTGGAGGAGATTCGCATCGTCTCTGGATTTTTAACCAAGCGATATTTTCTCTGCTCTGACTCAGGGGCTCCGTGAAGTAGAAAACGTGAATAGTGCTAATTAACAGGTATTAGGGTGACCAGCCATCGGCTGGCCCGAGACTACCTGGTTTTAGCCCTCAAACCTCACATCCCGGAAACCCTCCAGTCCTGGAGGAACCGGGACAGTTGGTCATCCTGACTACTATGGAAAATAGAATCAAATTCGGGAGAACAGAAAAGCATCTGTCTATTTTAAAGAGAGCAACCAGGCTGAGGCTTAAAGTAAAGCCCTTGCTTGGTGCAGTCAGCGTAGAAACACTGCTGGAAATCTGCTCTAACTTCCCGCAGGTCCGGAGGCCTCCCTGCTTTTGTGGCGATGGCAGTGAAAGCAATGCGTGTGCCGTCTGTGGTGTTTGGGGCCACTCAAAGCCCTGTGCTGCTTCCTGTGCAGCTCTGTGGGAGGCGTGGGACGTGTGGGAACCTTAAAAAAAAAAAAAACAAGACAAGCAGCTGGGCTCAAGGGACAGCAGACCCAAGATAAATGCCCCACGTGCACGGGAGTGACACACGCATTACAAAGCTCTGGGTGAGGCCGCTTACTGCAGGTGTGTGTGAAGTGAGGCGGCCATTTAGAAACCCAGGCTGGTCCATGGGCCCTTGAACAGCAGGCACATGCCTCTGTTTCTGTCTGCTTAGTGCCTGCTGTATGCGCGATACATATTTCTTAAATGCGTGAAGAGGCTTCCTAGCCTTCTAGTCCCTTCAAGGGCTGGGGCCTTTCCAGGTGACACAAAGGCCCTTCTAACAGGATGTGCACTGCTATAGGCTGAATTGTGTCCCCTTGAAATTCACGTATTGAAGCCCTAACTCCTGATGTGATGGTATTTGGAGGTGGGACTTTGGGCGGGTGGTTAATGTTTAGATGATGTCATGAGGGTGGGGTCCTCATGATGAGATTAGCGCTCTTCTAAGAAGACACAAGAGAGCTTCATTTCTGTCCCCACCATGGGAGGACACAGGGAGAAGGTGGCTGTTTGCAAACTAGGATGTGGGCTCTCTCTAAGAACCAAATCGCTAGCACCTTGATCTTGGACTGCCCCGATGCCAGAGCTGTGAGAAATAAATGTCTGTTGTTTAAGCCACCAGCCTATGGTATTTTGTTACAGCAGCCTGAGAGGGCTAAGACGTACTGAAGCTCAAATCATGGCTACAGCAGTCACTAATTAACTCACCCTGTGGCGTGCCAGTGCCGGCTTTGCTCCAGGCACTGTGCTGGGCCCTGGAGTCACGGCTGCTCAGTTGGGATTTACAATCCTTAATTAGCCTTCAGAGGAGGGCTCACTCAAGCCTAGAAAGAGGTCACTAGAGTAGAGAACTGTGGAGTGCAAGCCTGCGGCAGGGGGCAAAATGGGGGAAACCAGGAAGGTCCCCAAGAGACGATGCTTGAGCTGAGTGTTGAAGGGTGAATGGGGGCAGAGGTCTGGAGGAACCAAGGAAGAGTCCCGGTTCCTGGCTGGGCGAGAGGCTGGGAGGAGGACCCCGTGCGCTACAATAGCAGCGAGAGTAACTCTGGGTGGCTTTCCGTTCTGTTAGCAAACTCTCTGCCCTTTACATTTACCTGTTGCAGCAAAACCTCTCAGCCAGTTCTCTGTCTGCGATGTCGAGCTGGCGTGTGTGGCTGGCAACCCAACATCATGCTGAGGGTCTGAGAGCTCACTGCAGGACGTTTGCACATGCTCTTAGCGTGGGTGAGCTACGTGAGTCTGCATTTTCTCTCTGGGGCTTGAATATTGTCCCTGAACCTGGAGATGTTCGGAAAGGTAAAAAGTGCCACCAGCAGACAGCACCCAGCCCTCCACGGGCGAAGGGCCTTCTCAGTGGTTCAGACTGGGCTTCCTTAACCAGCTATGAAGGAAGGCTTCCAGAAATGACAAAATACTGCTCCACAGGCAACACCTGTGAGGGGAAGAGTTAGAAAGAGACAGAGCACGAGGGAGGGACGTTCATTCACTTCTCGTTGGGTGGGCTTAAGTCACAGATAGCATATCACATCCAACGGAGGAGGAAGCACCGTCTGGAGAAAAAGGAAACAGAGAGCCAGTCAGTAGTGGAGAAGAGGGACCTCACAAAGAACTGCCATCTGGCCTGCAGGAGGGAGGGCTGCGTGTTTCACAGAAAAATACCCGTTTCGGCTCTGCCACAGAGGGGAGGGACTCTCAGAGGGCCATGTGCATTTTCCGTTAGGTTGATGATTATAGCATACATTTCCCATCCACTTCCAGAAAGGGCTTGCCTTATTGTATGTACCATGAGAGTTCATAACAGAAACCAGTTAGAATATATTTTTATAAGGAGAGATTAATAACCACCAGTGTCAAGAGAAGCTAACTGTAACAAGAACCCAGAATAAATAGGACTCTAGGTTGTTCCACTGAGTTTCCTAAAAGTCACAACAATGACAACAATAAAATAAAATATAGATCCTATAGTTTGTAAAAGGAAGCAGGCATTTTTTTGTTTGTTTGTTTTTTATTTTATTGGGGGATTGAGGGAGGGGAACAGTGTTGGGGAATTGTCCTTCAATCTTAGTTGTGGAGGGTGCAGCTAGCTCAGCTCTAAGTCCAGTCGCCATCTGGCCACCCATCTGCAGCTCAGCTCAAGGTGCTGTGTTACAATCTTAGTTGTGGGTGACTGTAGCCACCAACCCATGCGGGAGTCAAACTGGCAACCTTGTTGTTGGGAGCACGTGCTCTCACCAGCTGAGCCATCATGCCACCTGTTGGCAGCTCAGCTTGGGCGCAGCTCACTGGCCCATGTGGGAATCGAACTGGCAACCCTGTTGTTCAGAACGTGTGCTCTTAACCAACTGAGCCATTTGGCTGGCCCAAGCAGGCAATTTTATGGGAAGTCTTTTCTCCCCTCCTATGCTGTGTTAGAGACCATCTCTTATGCATATGTGTGGTGTGTGGTGTTCACAGGGGATCTTGGAAATAATCTACTCCAGATCCTTCATTTTTTGTGCTGTGCATAGTGGTCCGGGGGGTGTGTGGTGCACAGGGTGCAGGTGTCAGAAGTGGGGTTTCTCCTATCCAGACATCCAGTGACCAGCCTGTCCGTCTTATCCTGCCGTGGCTGTGGTCAGATGAAGACACTCGTCTCGGTCTCCAGCCTCTCCGGTGGGCTGCCGTCCCGGTGGATGGACTCAGACTTGGGGGTGGATGTGAGGCAGGGCTCATCGGCGGGCCTTGGGCTCACCTTCGGCAGTGACATCCACGTGCCAGCAGTGGCAGGATGACTCAGGTCCCTCGTGAGCCCCTGCTGCTCCCATGAGCTCCCGGCCGATCCCTGGCTGGCTCCGACTGTGGGGATGACTGTGCTGGGGCGGAATCTCCTCCCTGGACCCGTGCCTAGGATTGGGCTAATGTTGGCCATGGTGATGGGAAAGGGCTTAGTGGCTGGCTGGGGTGAGGCACGCTGCGCGGGGCTGCCTTTTCCCCACGTCTGCGGAGTGGCTTGCTCACCTCCTTGGTGTGAGGCTGTGGCTCCTTCTGAGGCACTGAAGTACAGCGTGGAGCTCTCCTGTCCCCCTGCACCTCTCAGCTGCCCACCTGCACTTCTTTCTTGCACCCCCAAAACAGCCCCCGCTCCTTGCTCTGGGCTACCCCGACTCTGTACAGCTGACAGCTGCTGGATGGGAGCTTTGTCATAATTATCACTGGTAAAAGAGACATAACTGGATGTTTCTGACTGGTCAGCCTCTGCTTTTGAGACACTTTGAAACTCAGAGCCATTCTCTGAGGTTAGGGGGCCATGGGGTGACGATGAGAGCTCTTGCTGGGAAAACGGGGGCTTCCTCTGCGGGTTGTAGTGTTGGCTCGACCCCCATGCAGGGGGACAAAAGCAGCCAGGATGGTCTTCTCCAAAGACTGCGTTGATCTTAGACACATTTCCTGTTTTCAGGGCAAGTTTCACCAACAGCCAGTGGTGGTGACTAAGGAAAGAGTCCTCCCCAGAAATCTGGCTTTCTAGCCCAGCCTCTGGGGGTCCCCACTGCAGGCTGGGGGGCTTCCCCAGACTTGGTAGCTCATAACCTTCCTCTCGGCGTGTCCCTGGGCTCTCAGGCCTGTTCTCAGCTCCAGCGGTGCCCGGGGGAGAAGATTCTCTCTCTGCCTTGCCACCCCCTGCAATGCCACAGGACTGCCTTACAAAGTCCTGCCAGATGTGTGTGGACTTAGGGTGCAGCAGGCTGTAATAAACTACCAGCGAGACGGTGCCTGAAAAAGACGGGAAAGAGAAGAGCTCAGCCTACAGTCTCCAAGGTCCTGCGTCCTCCCCGTGGCTTGCAGAGCTGAAGGTTCAGGAGCTGCGAGTAGAGTAATGTCATTTCTTGTTGGAGCACCAAGACGGGCTATGTGGGAGGAATTGACTAGGCTGACTAGGCTGCAGCTTCTGCATGCAGCAAATGTGTGTAAGCTCACAAATGTAATCACAAAGTTTAAACCCTCTCGATTCTTCCTTGAGGGCAACTGCAGCTGAGCACTCTAGATGTGTGTGTGTGTGTGTGTGTGTGCACGTGCATGTGTGTGTGTGTGTGTGCACGTGCATGTGTGTGTGTGTGTGTGTGTGTGTGTGTGTGCACGAGAGAGGTGTTTAGTAGAAATGCTAATTTTACTTTCAGATAGCTGGATAAAAACTCAGCATTCGACCATTCACACATGGTGGATGGAATCCAAAGCTGGGAGGTAGGGACTAGCCTCAAAAACAAGACCCAAGCAGAGGTTAAACATACCCGTCAAAAACCCGTATCACGAAATTTCCATGGCCAGCAATAACACTTCCTTTGTGCATAAACATCTTAATCACATTGTTGTCAGATTAATTTATTTTGATCAGAAGTGTTGACTACGGCAGTAACTTCTTTAACAGAGCTTTCCAGCAACCTCCCACGTTATTTCCAGTTTCCTGTTGTACTGGCCGAAGTGGCTGGGTTCAGGGCGCTCGGTATAAACAGCATGCAGCCTGAGACAGGCGTGGGGGCAGGGAGAGCTATGACAGAAGGAACCCATTGCCGACGCCCTCTCATCCTCTCAGAGTGCTGTCTTTAGGGGCGAGGGGTGGGCGGTAGCAAAGCCTCAAATGGAGGAGTGGAGGCAGAATTCCTACGTGACCCATGTGGGCTCTGCAGCGGGCACAGCTCAAACCATTTCTACATATTGTTTTGAACTTTCCCCACCAGCCAGCCGGTGGGGGAGATGCTGTCACCCTTCTTTTACAGCGATCCACCCAATGCCAAGACTGGGCAACTAGGCCCCCGATCACACAGCCCTAAGTGCACATTTTCAGTAAAGGCAGGCTTTCCGTGAGGCCACGTCATTCACGGGGTTCTTGCTTGCACTCAAAATTGTGTGTCCAGGGAGCGCAAGATGCCAGCCAAGCTGCTGGTTTAAAGCCTGTGCTCCTTTAATTATAATTCGTGCACCTCTTGCCACTGAGCACAACCTTCAGGGCTATAGGAGTTGGGGTTCCAGCGGCTCCAGGAAATGGGGGAAGGCCTGGCTGTGAGCCCCTCTGGCCAGCTGAGCTGGTGCTGGTCCTCGGCCCCAGCTCCAGCTCCTGCTCCCTACACCCGGGGTGAACACCCTGAGAAAGGGGACATCTCACTGGAGGGAGACTAGATGGGGAACTGGGGCCATTACACATTTTAGGGGTGCTGTTGGACACCTACTTCTGAATTGAAGTGTGCATAGATGTGAGGCAGGTCGGGGAGGATGGCTTTTACTCCCGACCCCGCTGTGCTCACAGCATTTGATTATGCCTCCTGAAAACCACAAAATCCAAGTGCATGGTTAGGGTTCCAGCTGACAACACGCATCCTCCTAGGAAAACGCCCCAGGTAAGCCAGGAGCACCCAGACCCGTGTGCGATGTGAGTGAGCATAGCGGGTCACATGTGGGCAAGTGGGCCCTCAGCTTTCTCTCTGTCACCTACAAGCACAGCGACAGCTTAGAAATCAATTATTGGTTTAAAAAGGACTACCCATATGTCTTTCAAAGGAGGAGCAGTTACCAAACTGTTAACCACACCGTGAGACAGTACTTAGCAGTAAAGGATGGGACGGCTGATACACACGAGGGCCTAGATGGCTGGCCAGAGCACCATGCTGGGTGACACACCAATGCCCAAAGGTTACATGTCCTACGATGCCATTTCAGAACATGTGGCAGTGACACAGTTATAGAAATGGAGAACAGATTAGTGGTGGCCAGGGTTTAAGGAGGGGGTGGGGCATGAGGAAGTGGGCGTGGTTATGAAGGAGTCACAGGAAGGGTCCTGATGGTGACAGAAATGTTCTCTGTGCAGCTTGAATGTATCACATCAATGTCCTGGTTGTGATGTAGTTTTGCAAGATGGTACCACTGGGGGACCGGGGAATAGGTCCAGGGATCCCCTGTATTCTTCCTCTCCATCTCCCTCCCTTCCTGCTTTCTTTCTTTCACTTGTGCAAAATTTTGGAACTTTTCCCTGTTCGTTACCTTAATACCTTCTATTCATCCTCCGGCTTCTGGCTGTAAAGTTATGCCACTGGTGAATTCTTTCCATGCACCTCCCAGATAGATTAGTTGTCCTTGTGTCATTTCTTGCATTATACTTTTTAAAAAATGTTTTCAGAAACACTTACCGATGTGAGGGTCTCTATGCCATTTCTTACAACCATAATTATTTCAAAAGAAAAAAGTTTAATTTTAAAAAGAAGGGCTGAGTCAGCAACCCAAACGTCTAACAAGCCGCGACTCACGCCATCTCATGAAGGGGAGACAGCTTAAAGCCAGGGTGGTTTGTGGCTCACAAACATTTCTTCTGAGGCCACAGTTTATGAATCTGCTCCGTTCTCCCTAAGCGCATGGATGCTCAAGGTCATTTCCTTTCCCTAGTCAGTGCCACTGACTCAGGTCAGACTGACCTCTGGCCGGTGTGAGCAATGAAAGGACCCAAGTCCCCTGACACTTCATGTCTTTGCTTAGGGGCCGGGGCTGTCCAGGTGGTCCCAGCACTTCCGCGTGCCTCATTTAGGAAGTGGGTGACCAGAGGTAAGGCTTTGGGGTGAGGGCAGGAGCTCAGGGCTGCGAGTTGTGTAAACAGCTGAGGAAACTGCACTGATTGTATTTCAGAAGCACAGGGACCCACGTGAGGCATCTGGTGGCTGTCCTGGACAGTCCAGCGCCGGCCTGCAGACAGAGCGGGCCCTGGGCACTGGGCCGGGGCGTGCTGTGTGGGGAGAGCAGGCTGACAACGGAGTGCCTTTTGTTTTTATTTTCCAAGCGTAGGAGAGGGATTCCCTTTCGTGTTCACATGGGTCTGTCAGTCTAGATTAACACAGTGGGTATAGCATAGACCTCGGACTCATTCGTTCACTCCGAAAACGTAACTGATTATCTGAAACTGCCAGGCCCCGGGCTAGATGCCGGAAGTGGAGCTGGGTGTGAGCTGGCACTACCACTTAGGCACTGTCTGGTCCTGAGAGACGTCACGTAACTCGCCCTGTGCCTCACCTTCCTCAGCTGCTGGTTGGGGGTCGTCCGGCAACCAGCTCCTAGAGTTTGTGTTGAGATACAGCATGTGACACAGTGTCAGAGAGATCAAGGCTCTGCACCCCAGATGCCATGATGCTGCCTGAGGTGGGAACGGAGAGGGGGTCCCGTCCTTGACCCCGGCCCCATTGCTCTAGGGAGCAGCCCTGCCCACGAGACGTCTGGGATAGAAGTGTCAGCCCACTTTGCTGGCTCCTGGCACAGTCAAGCACGGCAGACGAAGAAGGCTGAGCTGTGCCTCACGCCCAGGTGGGGACGCCATGCCACCCACAGTGCCGTGAGCACTACTGCTGCTTACTCCGAGCACAGCTTCCTGCCCTTGGAGTTAGTGTGTGGTATAGAAATAAGTTGGGGGTGTGGAGGGAGAGGGTAAGAAGGCCGCGCTGGGTCTTACCGATCAGAAATCCGGACAAGACTCCTGCTATGGTCCACAGGCTGGTCACCGATGTCCCCTGGAGAAAGTCAGTGGCCAAGAGCAACAGGATGCTATTCTCCAGCAGCATAACCTACGGGACAGAGGGAGAGTGACCACACCTAGTCAGGAGCACCTGGCCTCGGGGACGCGCCCTCCCCACGATACTGCAGCAGCTTCCTTCAGTGTGGCTGACTGTCCTCGATGCCCACCGGGACACCCATGATGACCCGGCCCTCCTAGAAGCAGGGTCGGGGTCTGAGAGCTGCTCGGGCAAAGGGGCACGTCCCTCTTCTCACTGCAGCTCATTACCACGTCTGCAGAATCACAAACGCACGGGAAATGTAAGGGCGAAGCCCCCACGGCTTCCTGTGGCGAGTCAGGCAGGGCTGAGGACAGATATCTCCTACTTTATATATTTCACATTCCCGTGTTAACTGTGTGCATTATTAGTTTGATAACACAATAACTAAAAGTATCTGCAGAGCTCACAGTGCCATTGAATTCCAGTAAGCTAGAGTCGCAAACTTTCAAAACATTAAAAAAATGTTTTCAAATATGTGCCTCTTTAAAGGCAACTTTGGTCTGCGGCCACCAGGTGGCAGCAGGGAGCGGCACGCCTGCTGCGGACACAGAGCCTCTGCCAGGGACCAGATGGCGGCTGCTCTTCCTGAAGGCTTTGTCCTTCCCACCAGGCGGGCTTATTAGCTTTGCTTTCCAGTTTTCAAACAAAAGATATAGTTCTTAAAATAATTAAACAATCTGGACACAATTCAAAGATGATGTATTGAAATACTATGCATGAGACATTAAAAAAACAAAATTGTAGTACTATTTTATGCTAAAAGTCCTTGAGAACTTTGGCATGACCATTTACTGGCGTCGTTTTAACTCTAGAAATGTCAAATAAGGAAAGAATTAAAAATATTGAGGAGCTGTTCAGCAGTCCTAAGAGCGCCCGCTCTCCCCACGCTGCCCGCCTTCCCGGGCACGGGCTGCATCTCAGGCCTCCGACACTGGCTGCCGGCTCGTCCTGGAGTGCCCACCTGCTCCCCAGCAAGTCTCTTCGTCTTGTATTAATAATTCCCACTCTTTGTTGGTTATTTTGTGCCAAGTTGTTAATTATTTTGATTAATCATCACAGAGTCCCTTGAAAATGTGGATGTTATGTAACTGTCACAGGGACGCTGAGAGGTGGGTGGCCTGTTTTCTAAAGTGCCGATGAAAAAACACGTTCGGAGAGTTGACATTCTTGGCCACACCAGTTGGTGATAGCCATCGGTGGGGCTGGCAGTCCCTGCAAACTTGCCTGATTCCGAAACCTGCTCTCTGAAGCCCGTGTGCAAAGCAGCTCACCTCCACTTTCCAGTGAAAAGCGTCTCTGGTCACCCAACAGGATGTGAAACTGACAGCACACCTGTGAGTCTCAGACATCACTTTTCTCTTCGGATCTATCCACATTCTGCCTTTTT